CTATGCCATAACCTAGTGGATATTCCTTCACTTCTATTCTTTTCTCACTCGATTTAGCTATTAAAACTTCAACCTCTTTATTGTAATTACGACAATATAATCCTCCTTTATTGTCCTTGAATTCTGAGATGAAACCATTTTTAATTGAATCCAAAATAAAACCAAGTCTTAATAATCTTGAAATAGAAAATAAATTTCTCTTTATTTAGGGTATATAAACTGCATCATTCAACTCTAAAATAAATCTACTACACCTAATCAACTATTCAATTAAAACAACAGGCAGCTATCTAATCCTCCTTGTCACAACATGCCGCCGCCGCCATGAAAGTGTTGTTCTCCTTAGCAGGGAATGGGTCAAGTATCGCTATCTCCCTATTAGTGGTGGCATCAAAAAACTCAACATATGATTCAGGTTGGGCGCAGGTTTCACTGAATGCACTAGAAGATTCTTGTATCGAAGTAGCTTATTGATATTTCTTCCTCTCCCATAAGCGCATACACCAAGCTTCATAGCGATCCTAAGACTTCTGAGACTGTCCTTTGTAGCCGTGTATATATCCTTATGGGTCCTCCATATGGTCGACGATTTCGCTGCGCCTTAACCCTTTTCCTCTCCAGCTCATCTTCATGCCGCTTCTTAATTAGCTCTACTATATTCTTTACTAGAATACCATTTGTGACAAGTTGACACGAGTGACACCTATCAAAAGCCAAATGTTTCTCCTTTTTCCCAAACTTTTGGAGTTGTTCTACAAGATATATAAACGAACAAAACATGAGTGAAATCATAATTGATCTCATTCATTCCGAGAATATCCTTAAAATCAAACTTCCATCTTTTGAAGGTTTGACTAGTGAGTGTTTCAATTTCGCGAGAAATTGATCGAGGGAGTGTTCATAACTGTAAGGATTTGCAAACGAAAGCATATTACATATTACTTTCCTAGAAACCGATTCTCAATTTGTTAAGAGAAACAGTTTAACTTCATTCACAAAACTAACAAATAATACATGCAAGCGTCCTTAATTAAGTATCACACATTTGTGGCAAGAGATTACTTATAGCTTACACAAATTACATGTTATCTTGTGTCATTACAAATAAATTACTAGATAGATTCTATTTGTTGAAGAATCTTACCAAGCAATTCATGTATAATGCAATTTCCGGTTATTTTCTTTAGGGTTTGAGTATTTAGGTTTGGTTTTGTTATGAAAAATTTGTTGATTCTCAGAACAAAAAACAAACATATATCTGGCTCAGAAAGATAACCAAACAAAACATAGTTCAATAAGGAAAACCCCTAAAATTGTGCAGTGAACAGTGAATCTGCTGTGGACAGTGTTTTAGGGGTTTTCGGTTTCTGAATAGGGAATTGCCTAACTTAAAGAACTCACAGCTATGCTGTGACATATAGACTTTTTTAGGTTTTTAAGGTGATCTGCTAGGTCAAAAACGCGTTTAAAGTTTTGAAAATATGAAAATCGGATCAAAACATGTTTTTTCCAGATTCTTTAAACTTTTGATATTTCATAAAAACATGTTTAATCAATTTTCAAAAAATTAAACATAACCAAAATAATATATAGCATAACCAAATATGTAAACAGATATGTAAACAGATTAGGCATGCTTGAACAAACGATTACAGATATGTGTGAACAACCTAAAGCTCTGATACCAACTGTTAGACTTCTTTATAATGTAATCTAGATCTTACACACAACCTGCAACACATATAGGGACATGATGAAAACGTACCTGGAGCCGACTTCCTAGAATACACAGCTTCAGAATTCATCATATCCATAGCGCAGCAATCCTAGCAATTTATCAGGGACGGCTCAAGAACTTCTGCGCTCTCTCAGAATCTGTTTCAGCTCTCTCTTTATGATGAGAATAGGTTTTGAGAACGTGTCTGATGAGAGCAGGGCCTTAAGCTTATATAGGGCTAGGTCAAGTCGTCTCTACTCATCACCGAGGGCCGACTTGACTAATCTTCCAAGGCCACTTAATCGGTTCACGCAAAAAGGAAACAAAAATAGGCCTCCTTAATAGGCCCTAAATCCTTTCCTTATTTCACAAGGTTTTGGGCCTCAAGGTACAACTTAATTTAAACCCTTATCAAACCTGATGTGACTTAGTATCTAGTGCACCGATCTAATTAGGAAAACATAACATAGTTATGTTGGAATTTTTGCAGAAACAAAGAGCAGTACGGGGGATTTCTAGGAAATAACTCTCTTGTTTTCCCCCAATCTTTCAGGCTTTCATATTTCATTTCTTTTTCTTTCTTTCCTTCAAAACCCGTGCTTCCTAGTTCCTTCTACACTTTTTTTATCTATATTTGTTTATAATTGTGTTTCTGATTTTAGGCTGATGCAATTGTAACTGCACTTAGGGACAGTTCTGACTCTTGTAGAGAGGGTTGTTCCCTTTTTGGTAATGGTTAGGGTATCTTAGTAACAGAAGTATGTAGTGTGTCAGTTCTGTGAGATGACGGAAATGTAGGTTAAGTCAGCTGGCCAAGGCAATTTTCCCTCCCCATTGCACCCAAATTTGAACCCCCACCTTACATTAAAGTAGTTTAGAATAGTGCTTTTGTAAAAAATATAAATAAATAAACTCTGAGATAACACCATTAGAATCTAAAAGGTAAGCTACGAAAATTCGTGGCAAACAAAGAAGAAAACAAACCTCTTGCATTATAACTTATCAATAGATGAAAGGCTAATATCTAGGGGTTTAAATGACCCGAGCCAAGCCAAATGCCTAGTTTCTCAAGCTCGGTTCATATGAGATATTAGCTTTACGAATCAAACTCGAACAAGCTTGAATTGTATTGAGTCGACTTACAGCCCTACATTCTCAAACACATTTGAATAACAGAAGTGTAGTCTTATAAAGACACTAGTAAAATAAAAACTTTCTTACGTTAACCAATGAAATTTGGTTGGTTAATTTTAGTTTTTGCCCTTTTCCATTTTCTTCTCCTTCTTTCACCAATCGGTGGTTGCCATGCCAACAAGGTTTATCTGAGTGGAAAACAGACTAGTGGGCTCAGGTTCGAAATCTCACTCCTCCTTGTAGTTTAGAGTTAGACTATCGCTTGTATTAAAAAAAAATATAAGTGGTTTGGTTGCTTCACTTTCGAAGCACAGAGGAGAGGGCGAGCATGTTGTTTGATTTGATCGAACACTGAGACTTTACTCTGAGATGCTTTTATTAAAGTAATGGAATATCATTCATTGGGTGACGTGAAGGAGAAAGGAGGATGGATTCCCTTGATCCAGACCACTGTCCAGAGCAGGGTGATATCACAGATTCAATGTCTCTTCAAGTGGAGTTTGTGTACGACGTAGGATAAAGAGGGAATCAATTCAATTGAGAGTACTGAAACGTGAAGAAAATAAAATTCAAAATTGTTCAGAGTTATTACGAAACAAAAGTATTTGGGATTTACAGGAATTTCAAGTGAACATCAGTGGATTGATTACATATGTTGTTATTTTTAATTTGTTTTTTGTTTTAATATAATTTCGAATCCGATTAGATTCTGAATTTAATTAGGATTATTTTGGAACCTTTTAGATTTCTTCAGGCTTTTAGGTTTTTGTGGCCATTGCTTGTTAAACTCAAGTGTCGGTATCGCATAGCAATATAACTCGGAAGTAAGATATCATATACACAGAGAGCGATGTAAGAGCAGTTCCAGCAACAAGGGTTGTGGGGGTTTAGGCTCAAAAACCGTTTTCAGCAGAAAGGGCTGGTCAGGGAAATTGCTGGGGCCCATGAAACCAGGCCAGCCCTCAGGCAAGATGAGCCTGAGTTCAAGCCCAGGTTTGCTGACGTCAGTGATGATGTCATCAACAAAATTTTTTTTAAAAAAATTGAAAACAATCTTAAATAAATACTTAGTCATAGTTTTCACTTCTCACACCAAAACTCTATACAAATTTCTCTCCTCATATCTCATGTGAATAGTTGTTGTCATGGCAATGGGTGGAAACACCACAATCTTTTGCAAGGGCAGCTATTAGTCTCCAAATTTTAGCCAAATTTTAGCTAAAATAGCTAAAAAGGTGTTTTCTCCAGCAATGTTCTCTATTTTGGCTAATCTGAAATATTTTATTATTATTTTCTGTTTCTCTTTCTCCCTCTTTCTCTTGCAAATCAAATATATCAAAAAGAAAAATAGAAACCCAACCCCACTAACCTCCCAAATGTCTCTATCTCTCTCCCCTCCTAGCTAGATGGAGAGAGCCAAAAGTTGGTTCTCCAAAATAGAGAGTCAAGTAGGGAGTCTGTTGGAAGGAGAATTTTCCTTTTTTTTTAGCCAAAGTAGCTAGGGATGAGAGGATAGAGAGTTTGCTAGAGATGGTCTAAATGTGCACAAAATTCTAACAGTAACTATAACAAAAGCAAGATTTAAGCAAGATCCCGTGTTAATAAAAACCTAATGATTGAATCTATCATTGCTGGGTGGCAAGGATGCGATATGCAGATAGGTTGAAGAAGACAAACCCGTGTTATACTGTAGTGTAGTGTAAATAAGCAGAACATGTGATTGGTCTGAGAGAGAGAGAGAGAGAGAGAGAGAGTGTTGCTGCATTTCAGACAGAAAACCCTGCATTTCAGTGGAATTGCTGTCAGTCTTTTGGGGTCTGAATCTGACATTGGCATGTGAAGCTGGTTGTTTGGTAGCGGTAGGGAGGCAATGCCATGTACAATATCTGCAAACACTCTCCCTTCTCTTCACTCCCTCCCTTTTAACTTTTCAAGTCCTCTCTTATTCCTAATGCCCTTTTTTTCTTCCAGTTGCATGTGACTCCGTCTCCACTCTCCACTCTCCACAACGTGACTCACAACAACAACAACCACATAAAAGCTTGCAAGTCACTCAACCCCATCCACTCCTTATTGTCTCTATATAAACCAACCAACCAACCAGTTCAATCCACCCCTTCAAACTTCTTGTTACATAATAATCCTCACTTGAACTCACAATGCATTGCCAACCAGCTTTCAAGCTTCTTCTCTGGACTTCTCTTACATTTGCATCTCTTATCCCCCATGGTCTCTCTCTCTCTCTCTCTCTCTCTCTCTCTCTCACCAAAAAGAAAAGGTTAAGTAGCAATTTTGGCACTTCCAATTTAGTCTCTGGCACTTCAAATTGAATACTTTCAAACCTTTTTTATACCTTTGGTATCGAGAGTGCCAGAAGCTAAACTCGTAGTGTCAAAATCGCTACAAAGAAAAAACATTGATTGAGTTTTGGTTTTCATACACAACTTATATCAAGTGCTAATTTAAATGTGATGTATGCAGGGTGGGGAGAAAAATGTACTACCAATGGTCAAGCTCCAACAGTTCAACAGACCCAAGTAGGGTTTGGAAGGTCTCCAAAGTTCATGGTGGTGGTGAATAACAAGTGCCCTATGTGCCCAATCATCGACATTCATTTGAAGTGTGGAAGCTTTCCTCAGGCTCTGGTCAACCCGAGGCTGCTCAAAGTGCTAGGCGTCGATGATTGTGTTATTAACAGCGGGTTGCCATTGGCACCTCTGCAGACATTTTCCTTCAATTATTCTCACCAAAAGTATCTCATGTATCCAAAAATCTGGTCTTTTCAATGTGAGTGATCAGATTAATTAGGCCTACCAGGTAATTAAGCAGTTAATTAGTTTCCTTTGTCTTGCATCTTTTGGGTCCATGTGATGAATTATTCTTAATCTCGTCTTAATTAACAATATTAAGTACATAAACATGAGAACATATGGAAAACATCTCTGGACCCTAAGAAATTAAATTGATGGACAGAAGGTAACCATCAGAGAAGCTTTAAACATGGCATTAACCCTAAAATTCAGCTAAAAATTGCAGAAAATGAGACTACTAAAATGATAATTAGGCTATGCGAACATGACCACAGCCATTATGGCTGCTTAACACAATGCTTGGCAAGCAGTGTTTCTTTTATGCAGATCCAAACTATGTCTTATAATCTAAATGGAGGATTTTCCTTGCATACAATTGTAATTATAGCACTCTTCCTCAAGTGCTTACATAGTTGGAGATTTGCATTTTATATGCACGGTGGAGAAGAATACATCACATTGTACTTTACGCGTCTATTTAGCTGTAACAACAGCCAAATTAGCAACTGTAGCCACATGAAAAATTAGGCCCATTTGATAATTATTTCAATTTCAATTTTCATTTTTTTGTACTAGAGTATAGAGGAAAAAGATGAAGAATAGAAGTGTGAATGAGAATGGAAATGGGGAGGAAAGAGGAGAAGGGAGGAAGGTGTAACAAAAGTGAAGTTTTTAGTTTTTGTTTTCACTTTTGTTACTCCTTCCCATCCTCTCTCAATCTCATCCCCACCCACTCCCATTCTCACTCTTATTTTCCTCTATAATCTAGCACAAAAAATGAAAATTAAAAACTAAAATTGAAATGGTTATCAAGTAGCCTGGGTCTTCCAAAAAGCAATTTTGTTTATTTACTTTCCATTTTCGTACATGTTCACAAAATAGTTTTAAAGATATTTTAGTAATAATAGCCCTCTCTCTCCTTTTGAACAAATAAAAAGCCCTCCGTCTCCTCAAGTGTATATGTAGTTAGAAAAAAGCCCTTAAACCAGAGGATCCGCAAAAGGAAATATACTAAGGATATTATGTACAAATCTCTTTCAGGACCTAAGCCAACACAATTCACGACTTGAAATCATATACAATATTCTCAAACATTTTGAAGCAAGTAAGCTCTCATGAATCTACACAAATTCACAATGGGCATAAAAAACTATAACCCAGAGTGAGTGAAGATTCAAGACCACAAGTTCTATCCTAGCTTTAGTTTTTCACCTTCGGTGTAAATACAGAAATCACCAACTCTCTCTATATATCTGAACAATAATTTTCATTATATTTTCTCTATCTTTTAATTTTCTTTATCTTGAATCTGGCTGTCAGTATTTTGTTTTAGTTGTTGCTCTTCACTAAACTAGACTGTGCAGCAGCATGGTTAGCAACAAGATTATAGCCCATCCGGTATTCAAATGGCAAGCAGAAGAAGAAATATAGTGAGAACCTACTAAATGTACTGTTCCACTCTGTTCATCCTGTACTTTAATACTTGATGAGCCTGAAATTGACCATACTAAAAAGTTAGCAAAGAGATTGACATCAGTTCAGTAAGTTCGAAACTAAAAGAGTACTCTGAGATAACAGAAATTCATACTGAAGTTTAGGGCTAATAAGAGTATAAAGTAATTAATGAGAGTTTACTATAGGAAGTCATTAACCATAATATTTTCCCTTCAAATATTTTGAGTACGACACAGTTAATATAACAATCTCCCCTTACTGTCTTTCTAAATCGAAATTAATAATAGCTCCAGTAGAGATAATGTCCAAAAACTAGTTAAGGCTACAAAAAGGTCTACGTTCCCAAGTAGCAAATATCCTAATTCTCAATTGGTATCAAGCGCTAAAATGTTTTTTTAGTTTTAAATATAGTTGTAAAGGTTTCTACTAACCTAGTATTGAAAGAAAGTTGTCATTACAAATAGTGGATTTTGGGTACTCAAGCATGCAAGAACCCTTGAAATTAAGAAGTTAAACAGATGCATTAAGAATGAAAAATAAAATGATCACTCACAGTTATACTCAGTCCATCCAATGGTCTGATTTTCAAGATCGTACAGGACTAGCTTATTTGAAAGTACCAAATCTGCAAGGTACACTTAAAATGATCAAAATGTCCATGAATTTCATGCAACTGTCTTGCTTATAGAAAAAAACATCATATATCATGCCAATTAAACCCTACAGAACTTCAATTACCCAAGAATCCAATCTGTCAATACTTGTGTTTGAAGATTAATTCCAAGTGACTATAATAGCTTATAATGAAGACCTTTATCATAATCACTTATTATACTAAATATAAACACTAGTGTAAAAATAATAATAATAATAATAATAATAAACACAAGTGTGGGAAAGTTGGATACATATATGACAAATGGAACCGTACTACTATGCTAAACCCAAACACTAGTTTCTATTATCCCAAATTTCACATGAAATAAAAGAAAGTTAAGAGCATAAGGTCTAATTAGTACATTTTGTTCAATTGTTTCATTAGAATGAACATTGACATCTCAGCAGAGCATCTATAATGCCTGCATCTATAAAGAGAGTGACGAACCCCTCACATGCGAGAGAGACATATGAGTTTCATAAAGAACCATTGTGACTTTGTTTCGGTAAATAACCCTAAAATGTCAATGAATAAATTCAACTGAAAAGTACTTGATTCCCATGACAAAGGGCTAAAAATTTGAAAACTTTTCCAAAATTCCAGTTTATTGGGTGAGGGGCAGGAGAAAACAGAAAAAGGCTCCACCACCAATTTATTTCCTTAGTTTCTGAAATATTAGAAAATTTTCCTTTCCGAGACATAAATTATTAGGGTTTACCTCCCAAAAGGGTCAAGTTCTTCCTATCGCTTGATTGGATCCCACTGTTTTGCCAACCGATACACCAAAAGGCTTCCTGTATATCCACAATCATAGATTGTAGTAAAAGTAATAGCAATCATGAAAATGGGAAATGCAACATAAGCAGAGAAATAGATGCCAACACAAGAAGAAAGAGTAGGTAATGGAAAACAGATTTTTGGAGTCTATGGGCTTCTAATGCCTAACAATTTTAGGAATATCCGTTTATTTTGATCTATATTGATTGGAGGAGTTATGGGTTGACTGTTCTGCTTCAGTAGTTTTGATAAATTTTTTGTTGACTCTTCTATGGGCAATGTGTCTTCCTCTATATTTGTTTTTTTTTTTCAACCTCTTTCTTTTACAGAATTATTATTTCTTATAAAGAAAACAATAACAATAAAGTTGATAATTGGTATCAGAGGTATACTGTATAAGTATGGTAGCTGGCCCGTAAACTATATACACAGAAAATTAAAATGCAAAGCCACTTCGTTGGAAAATAAATTAATATAAAAACAAGCTGGAAACCTGTATAAGAAAAATGAATGGACAAAGCCTGTAAAAAGTTTCAGTTCAATATACTTACATAAGGGAACAAATAGTCATGTGGATACACCTTCAAAGAAAGTGAATTTTCAAAATATAAGGTGACCGGAGGAAATCCATCATCAACACTGCAAAAGAAGTAAAAGGTACAAATATCAGGAAAACATCCTGCACTACACAATCATTCTTCTCTATTCTTGGATAAGAAACACACAGCAGTGTCAAAAACTAAAACCTACCAGTAATTAGCAAATATATTAGTATATTATGTATATATTGTTCCAAAGGAACAAGCAGAAGATAAAGAATAAATTGCTTTGCATCTATAGAACAAATTTACTTCTATGCCTTTTAACATTTACAGCTGAAGTATACTTTCTGGATTTGTAATCAGTGCTCATCTTATCTGATTCCAGTTAGCATTTAAGCACCTCATATGGATATCCATCAGATATTTTGCTCTAGAATGATGTATCATGCCAAAAAAATCCTAACCTAACTACTCAAACATTCAAGATGTGATAAATAAAAAAATTTCAACATATAAAATGTTCTCTTCTGCTATTATCACATAATATAAAAAATCATGATGGCATACACCATACCTTCCTGAGTACTGAAAGCATGTATACTCTCCGTGAACAGTTTGAACATTCAAATCCTTCTGCTGAGAGATAATCTAATAATAAAATATTTCTGTTAATATTGGTGACAATATTCACACAAAAATAATCATATTGGTGAATGGGAAATATTAATGACACTCTCTGAAAGGAAAGTCTTACACATCACATACCTTATTTACTAAGGGCTCATAAACCACATCTGGAAGATAAGCCAAGGTGGTACCACTGTCAATTATTGTCCCTTTTCTATCGCCCGCTTCAAACACATCTGTTGGAAGATTTAGAAAAGTGCGGCCAACTTGAACTGCTTTCATGTTGACATTGTAGTGCGGCCTAAATTTTTTATAATGAATTTTCAAAACAAAAATGGAAAATCCAAATTTTATGTAAAACATCAAATACTAATCAAATTGGCTTTTAATCTAATTCATATTATAAGTCTGACGATCCCTCTCTATGGTTATGCATCCTAACAAGCAAAAAAAACAGTTAAAACACAAATAGCACTTAATTATGAGAAAACAAATATGAAAATAAAACACCAGTTTTGTCTAGTAAACATACAAGCAAAAATACCACTTAGATGACAATAAATAAAAATTAAAATGAATGAAAACAGTACACTATCAAAATGACGGAATGAACACATACTGGTTTGGTACCAAAGGAGTCATATTAACTTTTGGCTGCACAACTCGCCCAATAGCAAAGATACCACCTCCATTCTTCCCATCTAAGCAGTGAGCAAACATCTTCTTCACTTTTCCAGATGAAGCTAGCTGTGAAATAATTGAAGAATTTGATTTTCCAAAGCCAAGTATTCCATCAAGTGCTCCTTCACCGGATGAGCCTAGATCACCAGATTGTGTAGCACCACACCTATTGCACAAAAATCAAAACAACCACATGAATACCAACAACATACTCATGCACATGTATGTGGGCACACAGAGCAAGATCACACATGAGAGAGAGAGAGAGAGAGAGAGAGATTGTTCCTCCAATCAATTACAGAACAGTTTGTGCACTTTTTTTCCCTTTAATACAAAACAAAGACTTTTGTGAGAATAAATTCAAAAGGTAGAATATCATTGTCCAGAACGGGGCAAGTAGTCCACCCAAAAAAACCTTTGCAAAATCACAGATGTTTGTTCACTTCAGTCACTATCGGTAAGGATACAAGTAATAACTTTTGCACACAGAGTTTTACTCAGCATAAGAGTTACACAAACTTCAGTCCATTTAGATGTGGGGAAATAGAACACAAAAGAAAAAAGAGTTCATGTACTTAACCCAACTTCCTCTTTATGGGAAAAGGACTTAGTTGAGTCGAAAGCAATTTTTTTTTTTTTGTTGAAGATTTTGGAAGGACATATTATTGGCTTATCCATTAAGAGTTTATTTCTTAATTTTATTACTCTAAAAACAAATCAAAAGCCTTATATCTAACAATTCTTTTGTATCTTGGACCACTACCAAATTTTCCTCTAGAAGAAAAGTATTTTGTTAATAAGAACAAATAAGTACTGCCAGCATTAACAAGTTGTCTGCCACAGCAACACATCAATGAAAATTAAACTACCTAGCAGTCACACACCCTTTCCTAACAACGAACAGAAATCCATACACACACAAACACAAAAAGACTCTTAAGAAACTGTGTGTTCCAATCTGCCAAAATAGAAGATAACAAAATATCCCAAAACTTTGTAGACACTGAAGCCCAAAGTGAAGACCAAAATCTGACTTTATCCCATAAAACCTCCTCCCCTCCCCATTCTGACTCTGAAAAATCCTCTTACCCTTATCCATCAAATTACCTAAAGCACTTCTTTGCAACTCCATAAGACTTGTGACTTCTTTCTTCTGCCAAAGGCCTTGTACCTCTCATGACAAAGGGGGAAAAACACAGCTTGAATAACCCCACTCAAATTAAGGCTATAGGACAATGAAGAAACAAATGATTCACGCTTCCACTCCTTTACACATTTATGCACCAATTGGGAGAAAGACAAACATTTGGTCTTCACCTTTAAATCAAATTCCAGGTATTAGCCCTACCATAAGAAACTATCCAAGTAAGAATTTGTACCTTAGGAGGGAGTTTAGCCTTCCAAATCAAAGAAGACGGTAGCAATCTAGAAAGAGTGACTATCACATTACACTCTAAATGTAAGACCTACATGGAAAAAACAAAGAAGATTCTCATCTCTACCTTCTACTATCCACATATCCAATTGCTAGATTACAGCTGAACATAGCATATCTTTCTCTTCCTTTAAGCACGGCTAAGTTTGCTATCACTAATTTGACCACTTATATTCCAAACATAGCTGAACTAGTAATTGATTTGGGATTTTTTTTTCAAAGAGTTAAATGTTAAACTCACCACACAGAAGCCTCATTAAATAATGATTTCAAATCAAGTAGAAAATAGCATACCAAGTAGAAAGAAATTACCCAAAAATGACGCTCCCATTGGCAGAGGTAGTTTGGAGGTCACCAGACACTCGATCATAAAACACTACATCTTTGACAAAATAACCAGCAGTGGAGCTGCCATCTCCGTATATTTGCAGATAGGGACATGACATATTACCCGCACATCCAGACAGTGGACCATCATTCACCTCTAAGCAAAAATCTTGATTACAAGTAACCAATTTACCAGTGGAAGACTGCTTAACATCATATAGTGTAAGATCAATCTGTCAGAGAAAAATAACCCATATAAGCAAAACAATACTAATTCACCACCAATTCAGAAGCAAAACAAAAACAAAAACCATAAAGAAGCAGAGGGAGAGGTCTCAATCTCATACACCAAGTGAGCTTTTTTGTGGGCAATCTTCGCATTGAATACAGTTGACCCACATAATATCACTTCCAGTATCAACTTGCACATAGTAGTCCTTCGTAGGTGTTCCAATGCCAATTTTAGCATAGTACAGACTACAAAACAAGAGAAACAATGATTACCCCTTTCAAAATAACAAGAAATACACACAGAGGTATATGAAGAATTGGGAAGGGAAGAGTTGCTCACCCGACGGCATCAGGGCGGCCAGAGCCACCCAAAGGGAGATCAACGCCGGCGAGAATCCTAAGGGTCCGCTGGGTATCGTGAGCTTTAAGGGCACTCAAGGAAGGCTCGCGGCCTGCGTACTTGTACTTGACGCTCAAAACGGCGTTGTTTAGAGCGACGCTGGTCGTGACTTTGGTCGAAATCAAGAGCAGGAACAACAGAGCAAAGCTGCCAAAGGAGCTTCTCAGAGTGAGCGTCGCTATATCCATGATCGCCATGGTCGTCGCCGTTGAAGCCATGTTTGTGGGCTTCTGGCTGGCAATGGCATAGAGAGAGAGACCCAGAAGAAGAAGAGAAAATGAGAAATTTGTAAAGTCTTTTCCCTTTCTTTTTTTTTTCTTTTTTTCTTTTTTAGGCTGAAGAGGAAGACTCACAAGTTGGTGGGAGAGGCTTTACTATGGCAGCAGTGGGGCCTACAGCCCTACACACAGAGTTTCCGTACTGGAAAAGTCCCTCAACCGCTGATTCAATTCAACCCTTTCTTTCCCTTGTTTGTGATTTGCTTTTTTTTTTTTTCTCTTCTTCACAACTTTACCAGAAATTTTTTGCAGCAGGAGCAGCCAGTGAGTGATTTTGAAGCCCTTTCTGGTCTACGGGTTAACGACTTTTAGGCCCCAGTTGTTTTGATTTTGAAGTTTTGTGGGCATGGATTTGGATTATAAAACAACAACCAGTCTTCTTTTTTATTTGCTTTACGATTCGGTCACAATCCATAACTATATTCAAATTTTTTTATTTATGAAGATGGTTTGAATTGAATTTTGTAAATTATCATAATTTTTATGCCTCTAAGAATGATAGGGTAAATCTGTCTCCTCGCATTCAAATTCGAGTTAATGCTCTTGACTTCTAGTCTTGTGTTTTCCACCTCATTATCCCAAGCCAATAGAATAATGACACATGCCAATTTTCTTTAAAAACTTTTAATAATATATTTTAATCAATAAAAGCAACCAAAAAATAAAATTTCTCTCTCATCCCATCTCTACATCCGTGCCAGCCCTTTTACTAACTAATTAATTTTTTTTTTCTTTCCCAAACTCAGTTAATGTTTTACCTTCTTTTCTTTTTTGGCCATTCCTCTTCCGTTTCTTATGCAAAAGCCTTCCATTTGTTCAAAATCGTTCCTGTCTCTGTTCAATCCCTCTCCTTCCTCTCTTCTATCCATAGAATTTTTTTATACTTTATCTTTTTAACAAAGTGATTTATTTTATTGCTACAACTAATGACAATTTTTTTTTAAATAATGAAGTAATGCTAATAAAATTTAGTTTGCTGTACAATTTGTTTATGATATTAATAACTCAAAGAATAAGTTTTTTTCTTTTCGCCTGATATCAATAACTCAAAAAAGAAATATGTTAAATTTCTTTGATCAAGTGTAACATGGGTAACTTGCATGAATGGATTTATAATTCACTAATCCTTCTTCAAATAGGATATCAAGGAAGGGCACAAACGTAATCTCATGTACACAAGTAGTCTTTTGGCCAAATAGTGCAACATAAAGGAAAAGGAATTATTCCCTTGTACAAAAGTGTAACCTCGGCCAAATAACATAACAAAAAGAAAAGGAGAACACTACGTCACATTTACAAAAATGTAATTTTGCCAAACTAAAGATTATATTGTTCTCCTTTTGCAAAATATGTTGGTCTTTATACATCAAAATGAGCACATTACACCTGTTCAAATAAGCTGTCCAAACAAAAATTAGAAAACTAATACAAAGCATAGCACATCCTTCAGACGTTCATGTTATGAATAAAAAAATATCTACGTACCTATTGTCATAACTTTGACATAAATTTCAAACCCATAAAAAGACATCAACCAGCCCTTATCAGTCTTACCACCGACGCAATTGGTTCAAACTATTGAAATACACATTCTGCATCACAACTTAATCCATGAATCAATATGGAAATTAACACAATTAAAAGTAAATTTTATCCCATGAGTCAAACCTGATTTAAATTAGTTGATTGTCCAAATGTGAAATTCGCATTCAAAGTTGTAGATGAATCCTAATGCATCATAAAATAATCTCTAGTTAGAAATATCTGATTTCTTTACCCCATGAGTATATATTAAATTCATATACCTGACTCAAGTAAGGCATTTGATCACTTCCTTGAAGCATGGTTGTAAATTGAAAATTCGGATGTCCAAAAGTATGGCTTGGAATATCCTAAAAATACATATAACATTAGGAGATAAACATTAAAATTAACCATCAAAATAATGAAGTGTAAGAATAAGTACACCAAAGTGATGCAATGATGGATTATAATGAGTTGAATGAGGCGAAACACTGTTGGTTTCTTGCTCAGATTGACCTACAAAAAAAATTTATTAGCACATGAAATTAAATACTAGAAAAAATAGTTGAACCTAATTAATAAATCTAGTTAAAAACAACTTGAAGAAAATAATTCTTACTCGCAGCCATGGTGGTAGGCCTTGAAGTTCGAGAGGAATTTCCAACTCTTGCGTCTTTCTTTTTTTCTTTTTTTCTTTTCTTCTCCAATTGACTTTTTATCCTAGCATTTGTTATGCCTTTAGCCCTTATGGTGGGGGGATTCAAAACTGGTGGCTTAGCAATGAGCACATCATGAAGAGTTTGGTCACCAATGCTATTTAAATTTTCCTTTGATCTAGTAATTTCCATATCACTTTCAAGTAACATCATAACCTCTGCTAACTTTTGTTTGACAAGCCTTGTTCCTGAATCAGATAATGATGCTATACTAACAACATTATTTGCTTCATGCATCAACTCACTCAGACACATTGATTGGGCAGATCTCGCCTTCTTATTATAAGATTCACATAAGTCATTATTCACCACAATTCCTTTCTTGGCCCCTTTAGTCCATCTCTTCAATATGTATTGACTTGGAACACTTGTGATATTTTTGGAATCTAACACTTTCAAGGCATGACGACATAGCAATTCCTTGGTTTCAAATAACTTACACGAACAAGAAATATTGAAAGTTATGGAGTCAAAATGGATTTTGTAAACCTTTTCCTGACCTTCTTCTATTGCTTCAAAAACATATTTTGCACCAACATTGCAAACTTCATCCAGCCTAACCTCAAAACAACCCAACAACTCCTTTTCAAAGAATGAAAAGATCTTAATGGTATACTCACTAGCTGCTTTCTTAAAGATACCACTCTTTGCTTTAAGATGAGGCATTCCATTTTTACAATGAAAATCATCTTCCAACTTTGCCAATCTCATATCTGCTGTTTTTTGCTCATAGTGTTGCACAAAACTAGTGAGACTCATTGTTTTTGTAGAAATCTGATGAAAGATATTGTTTGTGCTCTCAACCCTTTGGGTAGATCTAATATTAGCTGAGAAATCATCTAAGTTGAAAGCAGAACACCATTTTCTTCTAAGTGAATATAACTTTTGCAGCCATGAATGATTCTCAAGCTTGAAGGTTTTAATCATGTGATCCCATGTGTCTTCAAATTCTGATTCACTCAAACAACCATAGGAGCACTTGCTGAAATATTTGCTAAACTCTGGGTTAGTATAAAGACCAGCAAGAGGTTGAGTAGCATTTTTAGCGATATGCCAAGTACATAATCGATGGCATGTTTGTGGAAATACAATCTCAATTGCATTTGCCATCGCTTTATCCTCATCCGTGAAAATGGTTATCGGGTGTTTGTTTCCCATTGACTCCAAAAAAGTTTCAAACAACCAAACAAATGATTTTGTGCTTTCATCCAATAAAAAAGCACAACCAAGTAAGACATTTTTCCAATGATGATTAACTCCCACAAATGGAGCACATATTAGGTTGTATTTGTTGGTCCGAAAAGTAGTATCAAAGCATAGAACATCTCCAAAGCAATCATAGTCTAACTTTGATCTACCATCTCTCCAAAAAAAATTCATCATCCGAGTACACTGATCCACTTGAACACTATAGAAAAAATTAGGATCCTCAGCTTGTTTATGCTTAAAATGATTGATCAAACTTTGTGCATCCCCTCCTTCAATCAATTCTTCCTTCTTCCTATGCAAATAATTTAGACAATCTTTCTTAGTGAACCCAACATTCTCAGAACCACCTACTTCTTTTGCCAAATACGAATACGACTCTGTTGGCCTTATACCTGCTTCAACCATAGAAGATATAACATTTGCGTGAGCCTTTTGTATCTTCCGACTAGATTTGAGAAATTGTCTTTCTTCAAGCTTAGCAAACTCATGATTATGATCTGAATTTATATGACTTATCTTCCACACACCATCATCCACAGTGAATCGAATTAAAGCCCTACAACCTGTCCTTGTATCCAATTGATGAACTGTCTTCACTTCACAAAGGTCATCATAAAACCCTTGCTTTGAACACAAATAGTCTCGTTGTCGGATATTGTTTTTTGCATCTCTTTGAATATTTCCTTTACGAATGCTAAATCCTTTCTTCAATGCATAAGAGTTGCACAGATTATATGCTTGAACTTCATTACACACCTCCATTCCCACTCTTAATTCGTCACCGTCAAATAAATTTTCCTCTTCATTTATTTCTAACGTTTCCTTTCGACAATCAGATTCCATATCCAAATCAACAACCTTTTGTATTTCATATAACAAAATAACAAAATTCAAAAGGTAAGAAGAGATATATATACATAGCATGTAAATTAGCTTTTCACTTACAGGAAATCAAAATTCACATGAAGAGTAAGCAATTTTTACAATAATAGCAACAACAAAATTACTGATCATATCCTTCTAGGTAATATAAAATTTCAAGAATTATTTTAAAGATTAAGCAGAGAAAAAAACAAAGGATAACAGGGGAAAGAAAAATAAATATCCCAGACTGCAAAATCAGTAGTTTACCCACAAATAGAACATGGACAACAATGAAAACCAATAGATTACAGTAAAAAAATTTAAATGAAAAAGAAAATTACAGAAATCAATACCTGGTGTCTATGTATGAAGGAGTCGATGTCGCTGAAGAGAAAAAGATGACTTCGAAGAAGGGTTTTTGCGTACAAGAGAAAAGAGGCGGGAATGGGAAGGTATTGTGCAAAAAAGTAGGAAAACAAAAAATTAATTGGGAAGTTAAAGGGCTAGCACGGATGTAGAGATTGGATGAGAGAGAAACTCTACTTTTTGGTTTATTTGTTTTTATAAAAATATATTTTTGAAAGTTTTTAAAAAGATTGGCAAGTGGCAGTATCCCATTGGCTTGGGATAATGAGTTGGAAAACTAACCTGGCATCCCCGTGCCAGGAAAGTTTTTCTCCTTGTTGAGTGTATTGGAGCCGATTCCCAATTCTTTGAATAGATTTTGTTTAAAAAACCAAAAGTATACGAAACTTTTTTCAGCTTTCTTTTTAATTTGGAAAATAAATCAATTTCCAACGAAGTTTCTTGTTTTTCCCTTTTAAAAATAAAAATAAAAATTATTTATGTTTTCAATGTCTTGTAAGTTGAAATTATGCCCGTTCTTTTGGTGCATAGTATTAGGTTGTTTAAGATAACTCTCATATTTAAAGCATGTTTAAAGGAAGAAATGAACATTTAATGTCCAAGTAAAAGGTAGAAAATGGATTACTCATGAATAAAACTTATCCATCTAATCCTCACCAAATGATAGGATAACGACAACTTATAACTTAGCTCTCATAATCCCCTAAAATGAAGAATCATTCTATTTCTACCTTAATTTCCTCCTTCAACGTACCTCTTAGATTTAGTGGCTTATCAAATCAAATCCAAGCATAAGCATCAACCAGTCCTTGTCACTACCTTGTGTTATATAAGAGCACTTCCACTGGTGCTCATTTGCTAGGGCGAAAGGGAGCTTGGGAAAAATTGGGCCCCATTTACCCAGGCCAGCTCAAAGGCAAGAATTGCCTAAACTTCTGCCCAAGTTTGCTGATCTCATGTTGACGTCAGCGACCAATTTAAAATTTTCTTTTAAAAAAAAAAAAAAAAAAAAAAACAAAAA